TAAAAAAATGCTCATTTCATGCCACTGCCGTTAAAGAAATGGCCCATCCATGCCATTATTGACTAACGGCAGTGGCACGGATGGGCCAAATAAAAATTGAGCCGTTAGTCAATAATGGCATGGATGAGCCATTTCTTTAACGGCAGTGGCATGGAAATAGCAATTTTTTAACGGATGGCATGGATAAACCATTTCTGAAAGTTGAGTGGCATTTTTAGGCCTTTTCCGTTCTTTCTTATGTAGGTTAGACCTGCAATACATATAGCTTACCTTTACTTATCTTACAACATTTCTCTCTAATGTGCTTTTTCATAGTTCAAGCTTTTGGTCGAGTGTCTTACTAGTTCCGCCAATTAACAAAGCGTCGTCATCTGCATACATCATACATCGAGGAATTCCGTCTTGTATACTACTGGTTAGCTCATCCGATACATCATGGTTAGCATCTTGTTTATCAGACGACTGTGAGAATTTGGCTATGATATTATCAGAAAGAATCTGAGCGTCCAACTTAAAACATAGGTAGAGAAGCCCAAGACCTTTATAAGACCCATTGGATACCCTCTTATTCCCAATGTAGGCCAACTATATAACTCTACAAAAAAAGCAAAAGAAATCTATACTAACTTCATGGATAATGGACAAGCCGAACCTCAATATAAATGCTTACTTATTATCATCACATTCATAATTTTCATGGTCCGACTCCGCAGATATGGCCATAACAGGTTCAACTTGACCACATTGAATGAAAAAGGGCATGACTGCACTCATATAAGGAAGAAAATCCTGTCCCGGGCAACGGCAAATTCTACTACATGCCTGCAACAAACAAGAAAATAAAGAGAGGCCAATCTAGAAAGAACTTTGATCTTAAAATCAAGCGATTAACACATACAGTTAGCAAGTTCTTAGTACGAGAATCACCACCCTCCGCTTGTAATTTTTGTAATGAAATAAGCACCTCCATAACCTTTAATGACAACAACGACGAGACAAATAAAAATTGTGCAGCATGCTGAGAAATGATCAAAGGAAAATAAGCTCAAACCAGCGCACATACCTGAACAGAATTAGCCGCACCACCCAATGCAGCTAATGCTTGTTGTTGGATGATTTCTTTGTCATTCTGCATTTCAAGCAAGAAAAAGCAGAAAAAGACATCATTATTCTCTCACTTGTCAGAAGTGATATACCTCTGTAATTTGGTGGCCTCTAAATTTGCACACCTGTAGAAGTATAAGCAGTTTGTTAACAATTCCATCTAGGTGAGGCATCAAAATTTCTGGCTTCTGGGACTCGCAGAAAGATGCTGTTGCACATGCCTATGAAAATAACAAAAAATAGAGCAAATTGGTTGGCATCAGCAACTGAATGAAAGGAGTAATGTCGCACCTCCAGATCTTTAGGCTTATAATCATATTCCAAATTTTATTTTAGGGTGCAGATTAGATTCTGTCCCTGATGTTTGACAAAGGTTTTTTTGCTTCTAACTTGACTAATTTTACGGACTTTCTAGGCTCTTTGGTTATCGGAAACAATCTCTCTACCTCACACAATATAAGGGGAGGTCTGCGTACGCTCCACCCTCCCTGGACCCCACTTGTGGGATCACACTAGGTCTGTTGTATTGGGGTCGAAATAACATGGTGCATGCGGAAACTAATAATACAAAGCTTGGTGGACGATAAATCAGACGATAAAAGAAAAATATACTAAACTAAGCATAATAGTTTATAATGGTTTGGTCAATCGATCTACATATGATAAAACTAATATAAAAGAAGAAAAATTATAAAGAGAAAAATGTCACATATTAAGAAGATTTAATCCTTGTAGGAGTCTTTTTTCATTCCTTCAAGAAAGAGAGTCCTAATAGATTAGAAATTTAGGGCAAATTCTAACATGTTGTTGTTACTATATATGCAAGTCCGATCTTATACAATTTTGTTAGTACCCAGATATCAATAAAATTTCGTTATACCTTCATAAAAGTAAAGATTCCTCCCCGATGTTCAGTACTTAATAAGTAATTATTTCCTCTGTAATCTGATATTTTACAATCATTTCAAATTTCCTATAAATCAGCGAGAGAGCTCTTATTGCAACTAAAATAAAGTCATA